GATTTTAATAAACATAAGTTCTTGCTGATTAGTGCAATATTTTATTTAGCTGCACTTTATATGTTAAGTGCATTATTTTATTTTTGGAGTAGGCTCATGGTCTCTGAAGTCAATCTAAGTTTCTTTACTCCCTGCCTGTTGAATAACGCATCCGCCCGACTCTTCATTCTAGGGGACGAGGCCATCTCCGCTCTGATTGAGGCCCTGGAGTCTGAGGAGAGCGTCCTGGGGCGCGGAGACGTCGACATCGTCGAAAACGCTGGCTTGAGGCTGGTGGTGGAAGGAGAAACTGTATGTGATTTGGGAGAATGCGATATCGCCACCCGGCTGCTGACATGGGCGATAGCGCATGCTGTGTTTGGGAAAACATCCACTTGCTAAAGCTAAAAATGTGTTCATATTTGTGCAGAAAGCAACCCTGAGCGTGAAGGAATCAACCTGAATAAGTAAACATGCCCGAAAGGCTCTGGAGTTCTTTGGCTTGGATGTGTAAGGCAAGTGACAAGGCCGAGGGGAAAGCGTTCTTGCATGGGCTGATCGCAAGCTGAATGCGGGCTGGTTGCGGGCTGATCGCATGGGCTGGTTGCGGGCTGGTTGTTCCTGACTGGAGACTTGCAGGCTGATTGCTCAGAGTAAAGAGGAATGTAATACATTTTAAGGTGTATCAAATACTGTGTTTGCGCAGCAGATGTGACGGCGCAGGTCGATAGCCATGCATGAGAGGTTCAATAGACGAATGAACGGGGATTTTGCGGTATTGCAATAGAACTGAAAGGGTTCTACAACCGATATTCAGAACACAGGGTGGTTTCCCTATAAACCTCAGGGACTTCTTCACAGACCCTTTGGGGTTCTTATCTAGGTGCTAGGAACGCTCTTATTATAAACCCTAAACCTCATAAGAGTCTTTGGAAGAATCGTGTGGATTCTTTTCATGAGAATGCAAAGCCGTCTACGTGAAGAACCATGGGGGTTCTGAAAAACGGTGGCATAACATTTTACCCCACAGGGGTCTAAATACCCCTGTACGTTCTTAACGTTCTTCCAAAGTGTTTTCAGTGAACGTTTAACGAATTTTACACTGTAGGTACGTTAACCGTTTTTACGTTTACCCATACGTAATGCTCATCAATCTGCCAATTTCCTATATAAACCCATAAGTAGTCTCATTAATATCGTGTTCGTTTCGCTCACATACCGACTCTTCGAATACCTGCTGACTCTCACATACCTACCAACACGCCATACAATTCTCATTTAAAGGCATTGGTAAAAAAAACGTGGCGCAACGTTAAACGGTTTTTACGCTGCATGGGCAGCTTCAGCGTTTTACGTTTACCTACCCATTATAGGTAATAATGGGTAAACGTAAAAAAGAAATACGCATGCCTATATACGTATTTCTCTTTAATCTGCCGAATTCCTATGCCTATAAATCTGAGTAGCTGTCTCGTGTTTTCTCGAGCTTGACGGCTCTTCAAATGTGCTGACTCCAGGCCAATTTAACGCTAGCGCAGTACCTACAACCCATACTCAAGTCAGGCAAGTCGGCTCTAGTTTTTACCTTCGACCGTTTCACAAATGGCTTGCATGCTGAATGGTAATCACCAAAACCAAAATTATCTCAATGTAGTGAAGTTAATTTGCAATGATCGCAGTGAACGTTAGAGGCAGACTGTCACGTCTCTCGACGCTGCTTAATAACATAAATATCTACCCATTGCATGCAATCATTAATATCATCTTACATGAAATATTCGATAGTTATCGGTGTCGACAGAAGTTACAACGACGTAAACAGGCAGGCGGCAGCATGGGAAACCCAGCAACTCGGATAAAATTGGAAACTGGCTGCAGTCACTTAGCACGCTTCGCGCTTAGGGGCCAGGACCCAGGAAGCGTTTTATATTTCATTCCCAAGAACGGCTCAGTTTGTACGACGTCGAGCAGGGCCTCGTCTAAGGAATTTTCACTGGGGGGGCCAGAGACTGAAGGAGCCAAACCTAGGGTACCAAAGGAGCCAAACCTGTTTTCTCACCGGATTTAGACCACTTATTTTTCATCACAGCCCTGACACCATGAATATATTTTTTTAAACTAAAAAAAATAGTAGGCCATCCGACCCATGCTTGTATATTAGTTTATAGCCTCCTCACATTGCCTCATCAGACAATAATAATCACACTTCTCGTTGTTGAGCGTGTGTTTGAGTGGCAGTGCCGTCAGCCGTGTCTAAGGAATTTGCATGCCGAGCCTTATGTCGAGGGCCCATACGCATTTTTTTATGAACCACATCGGTTTCTGATGGGTCCCTCTGAGCGCTCGATGCCGATCTCTGAGGGCTAATGTCAGCTTCTGGACCTACGTCGGCCTCTATGGTAGGTAGCCCACACTGGTTTTATATGATCCATACCAGGCTTTAAGGGTCAATCTGAGTGGAGACCGTATTTTCCCACTATAGGGCCCCCTCAGACCAGTGTAATGCCTGTGTATCAACATGGAGACTGATGTCTTCTCAGGTGGATTCTCCGTAATCGCCGTGGATCTTCGACACAACCTTAAGGTCGTCACTCGTCAGAGGCTATAAACTAAACAAAAATGAAGATAGTAGTGCTTTGAGGCCAGTTGGGAGTTGGGACACGAAGTGGCTGGCATTTGCCCTCCAGGACTCCATGCCGACTTCTTAAGATAATCGAGAGCTGTCAGAGTTCCCGTCCCCACAGACAGACCACCAATCTGGCATCTGCGCCTACGTTTGACCACTCAGAACGGGAGCCTGCTTCATTACGATTAGGAGCTACTCTAGCCGCACACCGGTGACCGTCCAGCCAGAAGTTGGACGCCGCTAGCGAGGACGACGATAGGCAAAAACAAGAGATTGACGCCCCGAGGGGCGAGGACAGAAACAACAGATTGATACCTAAAGGAGAAATTTTTGCCGGTAGAGCCTTGGACTCCGCGTGGTGAGGGCACGCGTCCCGGTTATAACAGTCCAGGTTCGAAGCGCGACATCGCACGATCTTTATGAGCCTCCTGGCGTGGTTACGGTTGGTGGCAGGCCGTAGCCATTCGAAGTCAGTGATGGGACCGGCCGTGCGCGGCTATGTGCATACGTTAAACTTTGGGCTCTAAATTCTGTCATAGATCACGAATTGCGCGATCGGAGGGTAGAGGGCAGGCCGGCCAACTTGGCGGGGGCTCTGTACTTGTGAATCCTTCCATTCAAAAGGTTCGGACAAAATTAATGAAAAAAGAATATCCAGGACACGGAGTTGGTCGCCTGAAAAGACGAAATGTAACGTATTGCTGAGCGAAAAAAAGGTTTAGGTAAACAAAATAAACACATAACAGCCCTAGGTAATGGGGTATTTCAATGTGGTCACATTGCATTGTTTCGTTTACGCATTTGTTTTTATGTGCACTGACGCCGCGAAATAAAAATTCGTTTGCCTTTTGACTATTGCCGGCCCCCCCCAGTAGGGACTTTTTGCCCTGACTGGGGGGGGGGGCCAGGTCGATGACTGCGGGGGTTTGGCCCCCCCAGTTAACATGTTAGACGAGGCCTTGACGTCGAGGACGTACACTGAAAAAATTTTTTACTCACTTTTCTGAGTAATGACTGAGTTGCCATTTTGTCCAATGGTAAAACTCACTCTAAATCCGCGTACTCAGGTAAAACTCAGGGCGGAACGCAGGTAAAACTCGGGCAAAACTCATTGCAAGTGAGTAGCATGTGAGTAACAAAGTGAGTTGCCATTTTGTCCGATGGTAAAACTCAGATAAAACTCATTAAGTACTCATGCGTAACTCATGTCCTACTCAGACAACTCAGGCAAAACTCAGGTAATAGTAAGTCATTACTCATGAAAAACTAGGAAGTAACTCACATGTAACTCAGCTGGTACTAATGTATAACTCAGGTGGTAGTACGGCCATAACTCAGGTGGAACTCATCGGTTATTCAGTGAAAACTAGGGCTGTACTCAGGACAGGCGCGGATACAAGGGGGGGGCCATGGGGGCCATGGCCCCCCCCTTGGCCGATTTTTTTCAAAAATAAAATAAAAAGTTAAAAAGTTAAAAAGCTGAAAAGGGGGCCTCCTGAAAATAAAGTGGCCGAAATCCGATGAGTTTTTTTTAACCTACCCACTTAGTTATTTCTTAGAAGACTAGCTGAGAAGACTTCTTTGTTAGAAGATTGGTAAAGCTTTTCATAACTTGGAGGTCTCTTATACTCACAGAGATGACCACTTTTACAGGGCCTCCTAACCTGCACAGAGGGCCTCCAAGCCTGCACAGATGTTGAGATGTTGCCTGAACAGCTAGATAAGCTCAATAGACGCAGTTTTTTTTTGGGGGGGGGGGGGGGCCCAACAAGTGGGAAGATGGGGCCTCCAACAGGTGGGATTATGGGGGGGGGGGCCTCCTGGTTTCTAATGGCCCCTCCCTTGGAGATTTTCTGGATCCGCCCCTGACTCAGGACGTACTCACATCGATAACTCATACGATACTCGGGTGTTACTCAGGCGCCGCCTGAAACGGCTGATCTGATTCGTTTTATATTGGCTCAAGCCAATGTATATAGTCAGGGGAAGGAGGCCCAATTTTGGGCCGAATAACGCAAAATTGGGTAGAGCTTAGCAAAGGGTGGTTTCTGGGACAAAAATGACCGCTGAATCCGAATCTGACCGGTGCGCATCTCTAGCTAATGTTGCACCACTTCCAGAGCACGTGCAACTGCGTCGTTCTTCTTTTTTGAAGAATGGCACCATTTAATAGGCTCGCCGCCCATGATAACAGCTGCCGCATCAGCATTATGCAATATGCATGCATGATGCTGATACAACAGCCACTACCAGGCAGCTAGTCTATATATTGGGATTGGCCAATATATAACGAATCATTGCCCAAAACCAGCATACATATCTGTATTATACCATGCCCGACCAACGTCTAGTCTTGCACTATTCGCCCCAGCCCTTACAAGAAATATATGTTTGTAGAAACGGTCGCATTGCGCTGTATTTCAATTCTGACACACACCAAACTGCGTCGGGGGAGGGATCGACTCCACGTCAGCTCAGCTTCACTCTTTTGCCAGCTTCTCGACCTGTCTTCGCGGCTACAGATGGCTGGCGCTCAGCATTGAATGGTGTGTGGAGCACATGGATAGGTACACACAAACCACAGCGTGTTTCGCACTTTGTGCGCCGTTTGTTGATTGAGCACAAAGTGCGCCGTCGCCAACAGCAAAAGACTACCTTCCAAACCATGAACCCCCACAAGACTTCCGTTCGCTCCACGATGAGCCGGCACCGTTCGTTTCCTTCGGACTTGTTATGATGGGGGTGATCCAAATTTTCGTCACCCGTGTACGCCACCACTCACGCCTTCTCCGCCAAGATGCAGAGGAGGCTCAATGGGCCGTTCCCTGAAAACACAATAAAAGTCAGATTTCTTTTGCCAGTAAGAGAAACGGAAGTTATAGGGCATGCAAGTTGATTGAAATATCAAAAGTTATCAAGTTACTTCAGCTCAAAATTAATGTTAAACCGCGCCGTGCTGGTGCTCTGAGTTTACCGTGATGTACTGGGGGGGGGGGGAGGGGGTCGTCTTCACGTCCCCTCTTCTAACTCGGCTGTTGGGCCGCGTAGCGACACGCAGTAAGCGGCATTTGAAAAAGCATAAAAGATATTTAAGGAAATACTTGGGTAATTTTTAAGGTCAAGTCAAGTGCCAGGTCACCAGAGGTCAGGAAAGGCCGAATTTTGCTTATTTCAATATTTTCGAAAAACTGGTGCTTAACTCGGAACCAAAAGAGCTGCCCGCGGAAAAATACAGTCAAAAGTCCTTTCGACGTTTTTTTTTTGCTGGCGTTTGATCTCAGATTTGACCTCAGGTCAACAATTAAGGCTCCAGAGAGCAAAAACTCTAAAAAAGCCGTTTTTACGAAAATATTTTCTGTAATACTTTCCACTCAAGAGTCACATTTACATATTGTATTTTGCCGTTAGCATAGTGTTCCTCTCGTCGGGACGAATGAACTATAATTAGACCTTGAAAGGCCATTTTAAAAACTTGACCTCAGGTTGACCTGACCAGGTCATGTTGCATATCAGTCGATGCAAACCGTCAAGCTGAACACATATGAGGTGTTTTATTGCACTAGCAAATATATTTTATACATGCCGTAAGGTTGACACTTGAGACATGGGAAAGTATCAAAAACGCTATAAAATGAAATCCGTTCGATATTTTTTTGACATTTTACCTCAAACTGGTGTGAAATCGAGCGGTGAATTCCCTGAGCAAAAATGACAAAAATATCGAACGGTTTCAATGGCACGTTGCGAACGGTGCGATCGTCAGCGACCATTGATATTATACATATATAATATATTGTTAAATGTTAATAATAATCACAGTGTATGATAATAATAATCTTCATCAGTTAATGTACATTTACAAATGATACACGCAATTAATGTTTGTATTGATGCATGTATAATATTGAAGCAAGTTCACATACTTTATTGCTAGTTACGTTGCTTTTCCTTTTTTAATGTGTAAAAATGTACAGATAATGAAACACAAACCTTTTGTGCTGAAGCATGCCGCCTGAGCTCGGCTTAGCCATGATTTCAGCCGCTGCATCGAGGCCTCGTAGTGGTTAGTGCCGGCTTCGAGCCGGCTGAGCAACTCACCACCCGGTCGAACTCGCGCCAGAACTGTAAGAAAGGTTGAAAATGCTTGCTGAAATCGAATAGTGTACGAAAATAAATATGTGTGTAGGCATTAAAAAACAGTCGGAAAAAATAATAACAGTCGGAAAAATAATAAGCACAAACGAGACAAAAGAATCTTAAACGGTTCAGCGAGCGGAATTAAGACCATGGGCTCCACCACCGGGGGGGGGGGGGGGTACGGGGGACGTGTCCCCCAATATTTTACATTTTTAACATTGTGCCTATCGGTGCTGCATGGAAAGAATCGACTTCAAACAACCTTCGCCCCCCCCCCCCAAAAAAAAACATCGGGTCGTGACGGAGCTCTTGTTTAAAGAAGTAAAAAGGGTCAAATGAACGTTCTTTTAGGATAAGGACAACATTATCCCACAAACATGGTTTTTTATTTAAAGATAACATACTCACCTCTTCTTTCTCGAACTACATATGCCGGTTAGGTATCCCTCAGTTTCTCGATCGATCTGCTCCGCCGTTCACGGTTGGCACCGACCTCCTGACGCCGGCGGGGAATGTCTGCTGGTCCATCAGTTCACCTCCCTGTTCTCCGCGGCGCATGCGATTGATAAAAGCTTCATCGACAATCACCGAGTTCTTCACAGATAACTTACCCATCCTTCGCTGCACGCCTTCCCCGCTCCTGCACTCTCCTGCACAATTTCACAATAGCCTCAACAATTCAACGTGAACTACGCGAGTCGACCGCGCCACAACGGACTGAAGCGCGCGCCGCGGTTTTCGAACGCAACGGCTATAATACTCATCACGCGAACTCACGCATCACGCAGGAAACTCACCCTGCCGCGCATGCGCGCATCTTCAAGCCGGGGGTAGGTACCTCACGCACAACTGCACGTGAATTCGCGAGAACTCATGCATTGCGCAGGAAACTAGATTTGCCCAAGCAAAACTCATTTTCGACTCATTTCGAATTCACAAAACTAAGCACTCAAAACTCACGCATAACGAAGTCACTCTGGTGATGTGAGTTAGATCAGCCCCTAAGTGAGCACCACTATCGTATTCACTGAGTTTCTTGATGAGTTATTACTGAGTAATGCCTGGCCTGAGCAAAAATTTTTTTCAGTGTAGATACGACACTAGGGACTGATTAGAGTGGTAGGTATACCTACCTACTCAACTGCAATCAATAGTCAGCTGGAGGTCGATCGATCGCTTGATCGCGATCCGTGCGCATGCACCCAAGACTCTCGAGCCATCAGATTCATGCGAACGGCGATATCCTAGCTATCGAGCTTTGGCAAACGAAGTACTCAGAGCTTACCGATGCCAGCATGCTACTTCAAGCTCATATCGAAACATAGGTATATAGGCTATTAGTTATTACCAATAACCTACAGTACAATGTCAATACATCCAATCCGCATTATGCTATTTTCTAGGTAAAGTAAAAATGCTTCCAAATGTAGCAGAAGCATATGTGACGTCATCATTTGGCGGGAAAGAGCCAAATGTATTGTGCGCCAGTTTCGTAGCAAGGACTTGTTTACGGACAACAGCCTCGGGCAAAATCCACCTGTTGCATGTTGATGTGGGCGTTGCACGTGTGATAGGATGTGGTATTTGCGAAATTCCGATTAATTGGATTATATGAAATATAAAGTGCGCCCACGATTTGTATAGTCTGTGACTCTAACTCAAGGATAGCCGTTTTTAATAATCAGCGAACCTCGCGAAGGTTGAGGTGGTTGAGGACTGAGGTGAGTTGTGAGAGGTGTGTGTTGCAATGAGTTCTCCAGATTTATTTCAAATTTTCACTCAGACGTACCTAAATATTGTTCATGAATCCAGAGCTACCTATAAGGTAATCAAAATTAATAAGAGGTTTGAATTTTGGCCTCAAGCACTGCATTAATAATATTTTAGTGTCAGTGTCACCGCGTCCGCCTCTGCAACAAGCTTGAGTTGTCGCAAGTATTTACCCAAGACTAATTGCTTATGTGTATTAAACATAAATTAAACATAAAAGCTCATATTGGGCATGTTGCTAAGTGCTGACTGATTTTAATTTTGGGGAAGTCTTAGGGCACTGATGGTTTATGAATCCATTATTCTTACCTGGTATTCTTACCTGGTGGGGTTTCCTCCACCTCGCAGCTCAGGTCAGGCAAGGGATGAGGTAGAAGGAAACCCGTGTACAAAGGGACACGCCAGTTTTCAAGATGAACAAGACGGTAAATACAACTACTCAACTCCAAAACTGGAAATGTGTGTCCTAAGTGTGTAATACAGGAATAATGCATCAATACGGAGTGTTTACATTTATATCACAATAGCATTATCAGTTCTAGTAGGTGTAACTAAACATAATCATATAGCAGATCGCCTAACGTTCTGGCCAGCAGCCGTTTAAATGTGGATACATCTACTGAAGTCACGACATCATCTGGCAGGCTGTTCCACACAGTGACTCTACGTTGCGAGAAAGAGCGCTGACGCAGGTCAGATAGAGTGCGCGACACATGAATCTTTAAACTATGTCCACGCGTTCCCCGATGTAGAGGCTGAACGAACATATTCCCAGGGGCAATTGAACTCTTCCCATGGAAAATTTTCCAGTATTCAATGAGATCAGCACGAAGAAGGCGCCCTTGCACTGAGAATAGGTCCAGTTCCTTCAGCCTCTCCAAGTAGGTCAGATTCTCAAGGCCTTCTATCTGCTTTGTCCATCTGCGCTGAACGCCTTCAAGCCTACGCATGTCGTCAATGAAGCCTGTACACCACACACAGGAAGCGTACTCCAGTATAGGTCTTATGTGCGTCTTAAGCAAAAACAACATAAAGTCTCGAGAACGACATACCGTAGATTTAGCAAAATTATAAGACAATCCAGAAGCCTTATGAGCCACAGAAGCAATATGATCATGGAACTTTAACGAGACATCAACTAATACACCTAAATCGCGTTGTGAACGGCACACAGGAAGTGGAGTTCCATCCATAGTATACATAGGAACAGACTGATTTTTAGATTTGCGGGAAAAACGTAACACAACGCACTTTTCCTTGTTCATCCTCAAGCCCCAAGACACAGATGTCTTGTGCAGCACATCAATGTCATTCTGTAACACTCCATCAGTGTGGGGATTCGACATCGAGTTAGCAGTAACTGAAGCGTACAATTTTAAATCGTCGGCGAATATTTTGTAACAACAGGACAGTTTAGAACCTATAAAGTTAATATAAATTAAGAACAACAAAGGTCCCAACACGGAGCCTTGTGGAACACCGCTGTAGACATTTCTGGTGCTACTGTTAAGTCCATTAACACACACTTGCATCAGACGGTCAGAGAGAAAAGAAGAGATCCATGATAAAAGTTGACCTTTAATGCCTATGAGTTCTAGTTTTGTAAGCAAAACTTGGTGGCATACTACATCGAAAGCCTTTGAATAATCAAAAAGCACAAGATCCACTGTTTGCCCTGCATCTACTTTGGCTGAGATATCCTCATATACAAGAATAAGCTGCTCCATCGTGGATCTACCCTGTCTAAACCCGAACTGGTGAACAGACAGTAGTTCGTTGGCTTCTAAATACGAGTAGATGTGCTTCACAATAAGGCGCTCCAACGTTTTGCAACACACAGCAGTGAGACTCACTGGCCTATAATTGAGAGGGTCATAGCGACTACCTTTCTTAAACAGCGGAACAACAGTGGATCTCTTCCAGGCGCTTGGAACTAAACCTTCCGAGAGCGATCGGGTGAAAATCACATAAATCGGGTAACTTAGGGTATCTGAGCAGTTTTTCAAGATCAGTGGGTGGAGGAAGTCGGGACCCATCGCGGAGTTCGGGTTTAAGGCGCGTAGATATGTGCGGACCTCCTCAACAGTAATTCGCAATGGTTCAATTTCACCGTCGTAGCACTGGTGAGGCTCCTGTGAAACAGGGACTTCTTTGACAAACACTGAAGCAAATGAAGAGACCAGAAATTCGCTCATAACTTTTGGGTCCGAAGAAATATGTCCATCCGCTTGCCGAAGTGGACCAACCGACATTGTTCCTACTTTCTTTGATCTTATGTAGGAGTGCAATGACTTTGGCGATTCCCGAAATCTTTCAATCATAGAATATTCATACGACGCCTGAGATGAAACATTAAAATTTCTCACTCGCTTATTAACACCAGCAAACCAGCAAATTATGATTAAGTTGTTATTGCTTTCTTCGTATTTTTTTGTTGTAATGCATCAGATATATTATTATCTCGCCTAGTCTTATACATGTATAAAAAATGTTGCCTTTTTATCTCTCCATTTCAATTCCAAACACAACCAGCTATTTGCATACCTAACTCATCGCCTGACGGCTGACTGCCATTGACACTTGATTAAAACGAAATGTCCTTTTTATCATGAGAAAAATCAGTCTGACTTTTTACGTTTAAGTGTCAATCCTCACATCACAACACCAAAGAAAAGACAAAAGATAATAAGCAACTATTTAACTGAATGCAGGACCCTGAAGTTAAACATGCTTACAATATTGCAAAATGTTGATAATATATTGATAAAGAATAAACATTTTCTTTTTCAATGTAAGCATGCAATTTGGTTGTACAGATATTTAAATATATGAAATAGAATATTGATGCCATTTTCATATTGATTCTGAATTTTAGCTCTTTTTTGAGGTTATGCTGTTTGATTTCTTTGTCTTGCCTGAGTTTCTTCTCAACTGAATGAATCCATTTATCTTATGTAATGCATAGAATGAATCTACCTATTTCAGCATCAAACGATAGCCTTGAGACTGACAAGTACCTACTATAGGGTTTACAGACATCCTGTAGTTATGTAGCATTAGATATTCTTCCTTAACTAAAATCACACTATTTTTTGTGTTGACTGCCTCCCTAGATCCTGTCCTTGGATCTAGGGAGCAAGGACGGGATCTAGGACAGTAAATCCTGTAGCATCATAAGCAATTATCATGAAACCATACTTGACTTGGAAGATGCACCTTTATGATGATACTAACCACCAGCATCCTTTCTTGCAGTGACATGCAAGTGACTGCCAGTATGACCACCGAGCTCTGAGCGGGGGGCGCCATGTCGTTCCCGAGCCGGCCTCCGTACGGGGCCGGCAGCCCGACGCCGTGGTCACCGTCGGCGGGCGCCGGGCGCGGCTCATCTCCCGGCCGCTGGACGCCGGTGGGCTCGCCGCGCGGCGGCGCTCAGCCGTGGACGGGCGCTGCGCAGGCCGGCCGGCCGGTGACGCCCGTCCGCTCGCCGGCCGGCCGCGCCACGCCCGTGCAGATGATGACGCCGCCGCCGCCGCGGCCGGCCGCCACCCGCAGCTCGCCGGCGCGTTCCGGCACGCCGGTGACGCCCGGGCGTCATCCGCCGCCGGGCGGGCACCAGGGCGCGCGGGACGGCCGCCCGATGACGCCGCAGCGGCTGTTCTCGCCCAGCAGGATGATGGGCTCGCCGGCACCGCAGGTAGGCGCGCACGCACACATACAGCTCCGGAGTGTGACAGGGCGTCATGTTTTGAGAGAGGGGGACGGCCTCTGGAGGCAGGGAATGCTGGGAACTGCAGGCTAGAGTTATGTGTAGTCCGTAGTTGTCGCGAAGGACTGCTGCTGGGTGTTCGGTAGCGGGGAAGAAAATGACATACGCAACAGGGTATGAGTGAATCGGATTACTAGCGACCGAGGCCGTTCATTACACTAACCAAACGGTGCTGAGCGGGGAGGAGGGAGAAGATGCCCGCCGCTCGATCGCGTCCGACTGACAGTAGGACGGGGTGTCTGGTGACGTCAGACGTCCCACCGACCGTCCGCCGATGTCACCGACGGGGAATGTCGCGGACCGGCCGGTCACACTCAGAAATAGCAGGTCGGAGAACATCGGGCGCGCTTCTACCGGTCGCTCCAGTTGTTCAGCGAACGATGGAGTGATGTCAAAAGACTTATTTTGATGCTGAGTGTAAGTTTAGACGGGCATTGAAATTGTGGTTCTGTTTTTATAGTTTTAAGCACTAGGTTGTCCCATAATGGGAACCATGATTGCCCCAGGAGTCACGGTACCTGATGCATTGCTTTATGCTGGAATTTCGAACTGGTCCGATCCGAAGGCTTAGCATCATTTGGAGCATCTCGGTGGACGTTTAGTAGATGGGGTTGTCAGCACATCGATCACTCATTTTGCCACCAGTTGATCGCCGGCCAAGGCGCGCCGGCGGAAAATCGTCCTCTGCGACCGATGGCAACAGGCCAGCGGCCCGAACTGATACCTGAAAATGACACATTTGTGGTCTCATAGACACACGATATGGGATCGATGCCGTTTAACTTTGACCGTTCACGACCCTGTAAATTGTGTACCGTTTAGCATGTGATTGCAGGTGTCGACCTTCGCTCAGTGACACAATATGTATCGTTTGTCATACTAGCTACCATCACAGCTACTAGCTTTATTAGCTTTATCACTTTGCTTTGGACGACATTGTGAATGTCAAGAGTGTATCTCCATCCATGGGACAGCGTAATAAGCCCAGAAATAGGATACTCCCTACGGATCGATCAGTGACTTTCCTGCTCACCGGCTCAGCTGCATCGCAGGACATTGAGAGCCGACGTCATCGGCTGGGCCGGGGTGGGTTGTAGTGTGGGCGCGGTTCCCCAGTCCGCGCCCGTTTTGCCCGGTTACTGGGTGCCCTGACGTCAGTGGCTCCAATAATAGTCGCCGCGAACGAGGTGGTCGCTTGTCAACGAGATGTGTGCGTTTAGCGGGGCCCGTGGCGCCACCTACGAGTTGCGCAGAAACTGTTTTGCCTTGCTGCTGCTTTTTGCGCTGCGCTGTGGCCTCAACCGGTATCTTGCCTAGTTTTATGGAAGTGAGGAAGCAGGAGATTCGTCAAAATGTTTCTTTTTTTGGGAGGGGTGTGTGTCGGGTGGGTGCACCGCACTTATTCATGGTTTTGTGGGAGTCTGCTGGCAACACGGCAGTTAGTGAATCGTTATGACATCATATGACATTCTGTATAACTTCAAACCGATCTGGATACCGACAGCAGTGCTGGATATTGCCCTTTTGCTTCTCGTCTTCTTGCAGACGATTAGTCTATATCCTCTGCACGCGATTTCCCATTGTTTGCCGCCGCCCGTTTCCGTGCCGCTGACCTGCCCGTCTCCCGTGTCGGCCAGATGGGCCGCGGCGCCGACGAGCCGGCGGCCACCCAGGACGTGATCGACAAACAGTCGCAGGAGTATGTGGACGAAAAGCTGGCAGAGTTTCAGGCGGCCATCCATCACCTGCAAGGTAGGTCCCAGGCCCGAGACGGACGCAAAGTGAAGGGTAGGTCTGAGAGATCGAGACGGAGACTTCGTGCATGATATGTGTCGTAAAGTTACAGGTGGACACTCAGTAGACGCAGCGAAGCTTTGGTGAGTTAAATATCGTTTTGAATATGCATCTCTGAACTCCAAGTAAACAATAAACACTCATCTACAAAATAGGATGTGTCCGGCCTCTTCAGAAAGTAGTGCTCGCCGTGATGATCCCATTCACTGAACAGTCGTGGGTTAGCTGGCCTACGCATCGGTAATTTGAATTGCCGGGACTGGCGAAGGTTTGAGCAGCTGAGCTGAGCTGAACAGCTGAGCAGCGCCTACACTGGTTCACCGACGGAACCGTGTTACGGACGCACGCTCGCACAGCTCGGAACATTCGGTCCTCTTTATCTCGCTGTGCGTTTTACGGAACATTTCCCTCGGCGCACTCGACACGCCTGGTTATGCAAGATCTTCTGTGATTTTACACTCACCGAACAACCGAGCAGGGTGGTCTTCAGAACAGTGACAAGGCCAGCCGAGTACGATCATCCGCACATTTGTATAAAACGACTTAGATCTATGTTTTCTGGTGTGAATGCCAATGACCCGATTCATTATGGCCTGATTCTGTTTGTTAAATCTAGTTATGTACACGAATGCTGTTTTCTACGCTATTTTTTTTCTTATACACTCCTTGTCCCAAGCGTCAGTGGTCTCTATCATCCCTCTCTACGCGTACGAATTACCAACGACCGCCCCCTGCGAGCGCCCATCGCTTGTCGTCACAACCACTAAGAGGAGGGACCCCTGGCGTGCTCCGCTGACCGAGCCGTCCATTGAGAGCGGGCAGGGGCCGCTGACCCGCCGCTGGGCAGCCGCGTCTTCTGACCAGTGCCAAACCCGGCTCCATCCCGCCTCTGAGCCGTCGGCCGGGTCGCAGTTGCCGCAAGTTACGGCCGCCGGCTGGCACGCGCACACAGCCCGGCGCGACATGGGATGTAGGCCGCCGGTCGGCGAGGGAGGCTGTGCAGGATCCGGTGGGACGGATGGGGACGCTGGGCTGGGGTCTGTATACGACGGTGCATCCAGCTGGGGACGGCTGGTGTACAGTTAACACGGTAGATGAAGCGGGAACTACCCGTCTCGCCGTGTGTCTGAGGCTTTGATTATTAAATACTAAACAGTGAATCATGGCGACTGGGAGCCGTGCCATGGGAGTCTCGAGAAATGAGCAGGTGTTCTGCACAGAAGACGTGGGGCTGGTCCCTGTTGACAGACGCAGTTTGAACAACTTGTCGGCAAAGTGCGATACGCTGGCAATGATGCCACATGCGTCTACGTGTCGGTGAGATGTCGAACCGGAATACAGGCGTCTGTCTGACATATGTCCGTCTGTTTATAGCGTCTGTCTGCCTGTTTTGTCTGTTATAGTTATCGCCAGCGAGTCTTCAGTAGCACCGACCTGGCTCCATCCCGGCGCGTGCTGAACGATGCGGGGCTCACTTAGATTGTTGGACTATCCTCTGACCTTTGTAGGACGGTCCGAATCCAAGGTTGGCTGGCTCTTTTCTGTGGTTATTTTCTCTTGGTGTATCGGGTCTTCATCAGTTCGCTGTTTATTTCCACTGTCGGCCGAGGGTGTCCCGTTACCTCTGCCGTGGCCTCCAGCTGAGTCATCTCGTCTCTCGTCTCGCAATTTCCGTTATCTCTCACCTTTCTTTCGCTTCTATTCATTCTAAATTTAGCCTCAATCGTGTTTATTTTTGTTTATTTTTCGTCAATGAGCTAGCAGCGCGGTAAGATATGAAATATGACATCCATTGTTCATTGACATCTACACCAGCTGCATTTGTAATCAGACTATTTTAGCTCTCAATCTACATTTTAAATCCATGTTCACCTTCTGTCCGCCTTCAAAGTCTCATCTCAGTCTTTGACATCTCCCCTCTATTACTTCCCACTTCCCTTCATTTATCCATCTCCCATCTCCCGTCGTGAAATCGGCCAACGCCTACGGACTGTTAGTGGCTGCCATCCGTTCGTACAGGTCACTGCACTTCTCCGACTCACTTATCAGGGCATCTAGAGATTATATCAACCTGAGGAATAGAGTGCCAGTGCCTCAACTCTCGGCAAGTCACTCAGGCATGTAAGATATTTGAACTCCGATCAAAATTATATCCTGTGCTGTATGGAATTGGACTCTGACCTAGTGCGTGCGACGTTCGTGTTTTACGCTTCTTGGCACTATGTTAACTACCTCCCGTCGCTAGTGCGTTCCCGGCCGCTATTTCTGTCGGAGAAGACATCAGCAAGCTGTGACGTCATCGTTTATGATTGGTCCGTGCTCCCCGCTGGTTTGTTTGGGAAACCATGTTTTCGTAGTTAGGGCAGTCGTTTTCCGTGTGGAACAGCCATTAATATTCGACCCGGCTGGCTTGATCCGATATCCCGCTGAGCTGTCAGTTTTATGCGTCCTGCTTCCTACTATGGGAGATAACATGCGCCTCCAGCTGCGTGTGTTCTGTTTAGGAATTTTAGACTGATTTGTTCTCGCTTTGGTGCTGTGTTGGATGAGGCGTCCACACCTGTCGACAGTAGCTCTGTTTTGTTTGACATCGCCCAGCGGTGATAATTGAGCCGTCTTTTCCTGGCGCTCATTGCTTCGCCCGCCTGCACTGTATTGTATTGTATTTGTATTGTATTGTATTTACGATCATGGGCGATCCACACATGGCGTGGCGATTACTGCCCAGAGCCGTAATGCCGGTTATCCGCGTTATTCAAAAGTCACTTATAAATAGCGTCTGTATATCAATCAGTCACCCTCTCAACGCAATTCGCTTGACAAACACCCCGGCGTCTTTTATCCCACCGGCCAGCGTGTCCTCTCCGTCCACACAGCGAGTCCTCTGCGCTTTCACAGCGGCGCAAAACTGACGGGAGACTGACGCAAAATTGTGTCGGCTAGACCATACGAGGTGTGTCTCTAGTCCAAAGAACGCCGGCAGTGACCGGCCGGAGTCCTGTGTTGATAAGTGGCTGTTCTGCCGCCAGCAGGTGATGATTCGGTCACTAGACGCTTAGGCGGGGCTTGTTGGATCGTAGCCTTCTCAGGATTACGCTAGTCGGACCAGCCGAATACGAAAGGAGCCGGCTGTGCACTAAGTTCACCCACCTTCCCGCTGAGATCAGCTGATCTCATGTATGTAATCCCGTCTATGCACTGAGGTCAGCCGGCCAGTTTTCCCTGGAACTTTTGCCAATTACTCTCACTCTCGGCCCCGCGAACAGGCTTTGGTTGGCTCCGACGTGAGCTATGTACTAAATCCCAGCCCAGCTGTGTCTCCAGTCTACTTCCCTTTGGTCTCTGATCTACCCTGGCCGAACTGATGTGATTCTGATAGGACTTCGGCAGGTATCAGGGCGCACTGCCGCCTCACGACAGCAGTGATCAGTGCCGTTTCCGGCGTACGGCGAGGGGATGCGGGCGAGGGGAGGGGTGTTTCAGTTGGCTCACGGAGCGGTGTGTGTATGGGGAAGGAGGGGGGGGGGGGGCTTAGTCGACCCACGGAACGGTGGGTGTCTCAGCCGGCTGAGGTGATGACATGGCTGTGATGACCGAGCGCTTAGCCTGCCGTCACCGATTGAGGAAGAAATGACAATATTCTGACAACCTTTCCGTCTGTATTTGCACTGGATGAACCATGCGGTGCTTCATATGAACCATTCAACAAAGCGTGACATCATAATTCATAAAGCTTCTTGCCACCACAGCCTCGTCACTTTTGGTCCGACCACATCAGCTCCCTCAGCCCACGTCACTCTGACGCCGACTGACGTCTGCCGGACGGACGGGCCGCCGGCCGTGACCGTCGGCGGCGCGAACTGACGGCAGACGCCGCCTGGGCGTCCGTCCCCGACGGTAGCGTGTTGCCGTTGGCCGTGGCCGGCTGTTTGGTGTTTAGACGCCGGCTGCTGGCCGTCGCTAGTCCGCGGTGGCGTAACCACCACCTGACTGCCGCGCCCCGGTCACGCCCGGGCTGAGGGAGAGGCTGATACCGGGACGGGAGCCATATCACGGGATATGATAGGAATTCCCTGATACAGGGGAGCAAGACAATCAGCTCATATGAGGATGAAAAGACTCCCTGATACAGAGGCCGAAATTGTCTGCTGCATCACGGTTCCTTACCAGACGGGAGAGGGCTATCGTACCATTGTCCCTAACGCGGTGATGGACAAATGCAACTTCTGTCTGCTGCACTTTTGTTTCCGATGTCGTTCTTATGAGTCAGGCAAGACGACGGTGACGATGTGGACGGGACGCGGTGGTTTACATTGCACGTAGTGCTCTCCGCACTCTTCATTGCGGATTGCCATCCGGCTGCGTAACCAGCGCAGGATGAAGGCGTCTCAGTGCAAGTGTCGAATGTGAGTGCTCTGCTGTGCCCTGGCGTCGGGCCGCAGCTCACACGGTGGAGATAAGGCGACAGGAGCTGTCGCCGGGCTGTCGGCTCGGCTGGCCGGCCTCCAGGGACGGCTGACCGGGCGACCGGGCTCGCCCCGCTCCTGACCTCCGCCGGTAGAGGTGGAACAGGGGTCGGCCGGTCGCGAACGGCGGGAACCGACCGGCGTGTCCGGATTGGCCGAATGTGCTCTGGTGCTCGTTAAGGATAACCAGACCCGATTGCTCATCGTACCGCATGCACTTTTTAACAAACTGCAAAGTGACATTGACAGTTATGCTCCTAAAGAGCTATGATGGGGGAGGGGACCTGTGGAAGGGAATGACTACGAAGGAAGTTCGTTTTATGCTCCATTCCTTTATTCCGCCCTATTGAATGGCCTACCGTGTTTGTTTTTCGATTAGATATCTGATTGTCATTGTTACATTCCTGCTAGCGAACGAGAATCTGGGACATGCCAGAAGCTGCCATTGTTTTCAACTCCTACGACAGCATATGTTTTGTGGTACCATCCTTT